CTGTTTACGCATCGTGTCGTCCATTTCCCCCTCATTCCTCCTCCTCCGGGCTGAGCCACTGCTCTACCCATATGCGCAGCAAAAAGACGTTTTTAGACCAAATATTACAGATTTGAACAAATACACACAAAAACATCAAAATTAGCACATAAACAGTACTATATAACATTTTAGACACATTCTAGACAGTTTATCAGCTAAAAAAAGTTAATTTTGGGGTAAGTTACTCTTTAATAACTCTTTGCCAGACTGATCAGTAGTGTCCATTTTAACAAACACAAATTTACAATTATTAAGAATTTTAATCCTGCAGGTTCAAGTAAATAAAATTTACAGAGTATTTTATAGTTTTCTTTTCTAAAAAAAAAAATTGAAATTGAAATCAACATTATGAAGATAACTGAAGTCACAGGGACACTCCTGGTCCTCAAGAACCACTATGTGCATGTTTATCTTTGTCTCTAATTTAACACAGCTGATTTGAATGAATGACTGATGAACAGGCTTCAGTAGAAACACGTGGAACATGCAGGATAGTGGCCCTCAGGATTGAACAATACAGTTGTACTAAATTTATAACATGAAATACTGATGTCTGCAGGAGTTGGAGGTATTGTCCTAAGGCTCAAACCTGGACACTGACAGATAAAAGTGGAAAACAGTGTCACCTTTTCAGCAATGCTGTACAGAACTTCGTCCATCTTCATACATGTTGGGTCCCAGTCGTGTCCGAAGCGGATAACAAGAACCCGGTCCTCCTCAGACAGGATGGCTTGGTCTACCTGCCAGCCGTTGTGGAGATGCGGTAGCATGTACGACATCTTTGATCCAGAAGTGGCGAAAACTAACTTGAACAAACAGAACAGAACAGAGCTTAAATTACCACAATATATTACCTGGAGCTCTACAACAACAGCTACACAGAAGACGGAGCTAGCAAGCTAACATTAGCCGAGCACAAACCCGGAGAAAACAGTGAAATCTTCAAAGAACAAATGCAATAACAATACACGTTTCAAAACTTACCCTTAAATCTAAAATGCTGACAAAAACTGACAGTAAAAGTTAATAGGTTCTTTCAAAAAATAAAGCAGACTTTAGTGGATTGTTTTCTTGAATATTCCAGCACGGACAACAAACCGCGCACCGGTTACGTCATCACACTGCGACTCAGACCTATTTACGTTTTTTTTCCTTTTGTAGCTCTTGCAGTCCTGTTTCCTTTAAACTTTCTGTAGAATAAACGTAGCTAAAGCAAGTTGCTCTTAGTTTTGTTTCCTAAACAGTAAAAGAAAAGAAAAGCTCTTGGATGAAAAATAATAATTGAATGAGATAAACCTAAATAAATAATTAGACTGCCTTTCAGTTATTCAAAATCCTGGAGAAAAAGGGAATCTTAAAGGAAAGCAGTTCATTTATTGTATTAAACTAGAAAGGTTTTTCCTATAATTAAAAATCCACTGCACATAGTGCTATGTGTTAACATAAACTGCTCCTTATGAAACAAAAATAAATATTTGACTTTTTGTTTTCTTCTGCATGCTGGTTTCAGGTTACTCATCTGAATCAGTCAGCATGAACCTTATTTAATGTTTGGAAAACTTGAAGCATTATTCATGTAAATGTAAACAAATGAGGTAAAATATGCATGAATTTCTTTCATGCTTTACTAAACACATGCAAAATAACAGTTCACATTTAACAAAGTAAATGTTTAAGAGTTTTTTCTTTGATGTTCTACTGGTTTAACCGTAAAACTTAATTTTAAAAAATGGTTATAAGTTGATCAAATATCCATATGGAATTAGTCCCGCATACAGATCCATATTCTAGGCTACTAGGAAAACCTTGGGAGCAATGAGAAGTTTCAAATCTGTGTAGCATTAATGATTTTATTCTCAAAATAAATGACCTTTGAATATGTATACTTTAACATTACTCTCATCATTTTAAATTAAGTGCTCTTTCTAAATTTAGAGAAGTCATTTTATTCACAGTGCAGATCCACAGTTTACAAGTCAGACACAGGAAAAAAGACACAAAGATAAAAACATTTATTGTTGTGCAATTCGTTACAGTACAGTCAAGAGGAAAAAAAGACAAGACAAACAGGGTTTAAAGATTAAAGAAAAAACTTTCCAGTCTATGACATAGCAGCACATTATGGCACTCCTTAAAGAGAGTATTAATCATTAGATAGGTCTCAACTTTTCTTTCATTTCACTACTGAACGCCACAATCACATCACTGTGGTGCTAGATGGCCATGTGATTCACAGGTTTAAACTGCCTCATGTTAAATAATTTGGTTTACGACACGATTGTTTTATGAACTACATCAGTAGCCAATTTGGAATAAAATTAGGATCTATTCTCCGACAACCATCAACACAGCTAATGATCCCTTAAAGCTGATTTAGGCTCTGTTTTCAAATTCTATTTGGTTGTTTTCATATTGCACAACATCCACACTCTGACCAAGTCAGAAGTCACCTAAATGTCCTTGCACCATGTTGGACCAAGAAGTCCCTCGCTGTAAAGCCAAACCCAGTCCACCACGACCGGATCAGGCTACAGGGGGCTCACAGTCCCTTCAAGGCCAACAGGCGGCGGCGTACGGAGCGTTCACAGACGTCAGGGGAGACAACACGTCTCGACTAGTGGTTCTTTTAACATCCAGATACATATCCACAGTCTGTCACTAGTTTGTGAGGCAATATACAAAAAAAAAAATATTATGACAACAACAAATAAATTGGCGCATCGTAAAGTAAAGTAAAGTCTCGGAATCCCTGAGGAAGGCTGATGCTGGAACAGGCAGCGTTGGGATTAGGTTTGAGTGAAACAGTCAGCCGCGGTGATGAGCAGCGGACTGAAGCGGCACTTCTAAAGCTCCTAGTCAGAAGGATGCTCCGGACACGACCGATTCACCTGAAACCATTTATCTATGCACCTGAAACACACAGGAGGTGAATGATTAGTGTCTGCGGTTAAAAATAAATATAATCATTAGATAAACATCAATGACTGATTCACTTTTGGAGTCATCCTGACTTAAGATGGCTGCTAAGGAAGCGACATTAAAAAACACGAGTCGTCCCCAAAATGTAGTCACAGGGTTAACGGTACGTTTGTTCAAAACTTTGTAATCAACTTAGTTATTCTGTTAGCAAAATGAACCACTTGTTTTATGCAGACTCTCAAAAATGAATCAATGAACTGACATCTACAACTGATTAACTTCTGGAGTTCCTCTATAGATAGTTCCCACAAGACTGAAACGGAAAAATAGTAAAATCGGAAAGCTAGCTATTTGATGTTAGCTTGGCCGTTTCCTTCCTACACAGTTCCACTGAATTCTAATGTCCCTTCTCTGCTCCGTCTGGGATTTCTCCCACTGACACGGATTTCTCTGGTAGAATTTCAACTGAGCCAACCAGCGAACAGAAGGAGGAGTTTTGAACCATGACGTTTGTGTTGACAAGACTAAACTTTGTTACCCGTGAGCCGTGAGCAGTACAAAGTCCTTGTTTTTCAGCTTTTTTTTTTTTTGTGAGCTATGGCTTCATCAAAGGCTGAATCGCATTACACAGACACAATAGAGTGCAATGAAAAAGCCTCCAAGGAAAGGTTTAATGTTGTTGAGGTACAAGGAGGACAAAGCGGCTACATGTACGCAAAGTTGGACACCCTACCAGCAGTCATGCACATTGACACTGTAAATTATTTAATTTACTATGTGCCAACACTATGAAAAAACTACAATATTTAAAGTCTTTGAACACTAGCGGCTGGGTACATTAAAACTAAAGAAAATTCTGATAACAGGCAAGTGAACAGCTTTGTCCATGAATGTAACTAATATTCTTCTTCTTGTGGTATTTGTTGGTGGTTGTCAATCAACTTAAAAGGCACAGTGTGTAGGATTTGTTGTTTTCAGCGACATCTCGTGGTTGAGTGGTTGAATCATCCTCCCTGGTCCTCCCCCCACCCCCCGCTTCCAAATGCAAAGGAGTTTCTACGGTGTCTCTCAGGGGTCAAAAACCTTTGATACAGCGAGTAAAATAAGTATCGAACACGTCACCATTTTTCTCAGTAAATATATTAC